ATATTAGTCGGAGAACAAACCACAATATAATATGGAAATGCGTAATTGCAATGTATTATGAGAGGGAGGAATTAATTTTCTTTTTCTTAGTCGATAAAAATAGTTAATTAAAAATTATAATTGGCTCTCTGTATCTTTGCTAAGAATTGTCAGATTTCGATAGTTTTTCCTCCGTTATGTAATGGATTTAACAAACATAATAATTATCATAAATAGATAACTATAAGTTGTATAATTTTTAAGCTATGAGCAAATAAAGATTTCTTTTTTTCACAACCTTTTACCTGCTTTTTCAGAAGGATACGGTTGTTTTTTGGCACTCAAGGAGGAGATTATCTCCAAAATGATGGCTCTATCATTCGATTTGATGAGGAATTAAAGATATGACGTACTGATAAAAAAAACGAAATTGAGAAATAATATGTAGAGATTGTGCGATGTTGAGCTAGTTCCCATAGAAACCAGTTCACTTTTTGTAACTTGTTCAAATTACTTAACAAAAACCTTACGTCTCCTTACAATAATATCGTTCACATATTCATATACTTTATTTTTATTTATGTATTTATTTATGGATATCGCGTGGAAAAATCTATAAGTTACACATTTGTACTTTTTGATTAATTTGCTGTAATTCAGTTAAGTTTATTTTTATTTGTTTATAGATATCAGCTAGAAAAATCTATTAGATATACATTTATATATCTATATATGCACTTTTTTATAAAATGCTTTAATTTATTTTATTTTTATTCTACAATTTACAGTCCAATTATGAACTGAACATAAGAAACATTATTAACTATGTGAGAATATTAAAATTCACTAGGAATCCATATCAGACTGACCTTTCATTAATATATGTAAATTTATTTATGGAATATTCTTATACTATATTTTATTTTAATTAATTGAATTGTGAATTAACTTCACACTATTAAATCATAATATCACAATCATATTATGATAAATGTGGTTTTGTATGAAATTAATTGTGTATGGGTTTAATAGATGGCTTCAAAATGGCATCGTAGCCGAAACCGTAGTCGATGTTGAAGACAAATTAAAATAAATATGGTGAAAAAAAATACAGCCTTACTTAATGTAGTTATTCACCTATTTTATTCTATCTCTTATTATTTCTAAAAGGTGTTTTTTTGTCAGTACGCCATAACTTCGTCAGTTATTCACAAAATACAATGATTGACCACTCATTGTAGATATTCATCTCCTTCATGTGCGAAAAATAGTCATATCTCCCCAAAAATTTCTGGGAAAAAAGTTATGAAGGAAAATAAACTTTATTTTGTGAATAACTCAAAAAGTATGCATTTTTTCTCGATTGTGCCCATGATAATTAGAAACATTACTAAATCACCTAAAAAAAAATATTAAAAAAATCATAAAAATCGGACAATTATTAACAAAGATACAGTCCATCAATTTTCGTACACTTAATACTTTCTTCCACTTTAAAGATATTGCATTTATTATTCTACTAAACTTAATGATAAATTAACTTTATTATTTTTTAAAGGCATTTGTTCGTTCTTACATTTTATTTTATTTTTTAATAATTTAGCAAATTTCATGATCAAGGCTTTATTTTATCTTTATTATCTTTCCAGTCAGCGTTTAAAAATAGGTCCTAGCAAAGCAATTTGTACAATTATTTTGGTCTATTATGTTAAACGGAATATTGTAATCGACCAAGAAAAATATATTAATTTCTTCCTTACATAATACATAGCATCTACTTATTTCAATATTATTTTGTAATTTCTTCACTAAACAAAATTTTTTACGAATTTTTCGCACGGGCCAACTAGTATAATTTATTTCATTATTATTATTATTTTTTGTAGGTTTGCATTTTGTTTTATATTATCTCTACTTAATTGGGGTAGCTCAGTGGTAGGGCACTGAGCTTCCAATGCAAAGGTCCTAGGTTCGAACCCCGGCTCATGGCAGAAAATTTATTTATCTGTTTCATTGGCCGTGGGGCGACCCTGGGTTTGAGGGTCCCTCCTGGGGCACACCCAGCCTCTATAAAGTGGGTACCCTTAATTAAATAATTAATAGAGGGGGAAAACCTGGTGGTTGAGAGTGATCTCGGTCAAATCACCTCCTTGCACAACCGTTGATCTAGATACAGTACTTTCCCTAAATAGTACTGAACCCCAGACCCTCCATGGGTTGTAGTGGTACAGGTTTTCTTTTCTTTTTTTATCTCTACTTAATTATATTTGTCGCATATATTTTATAATATGTATTGCAATGTTTAAAATTCAAAAAGAAGTCTACTTTGGTTTATGATGCAGATGCGATCATGGGTGAAACCATTCTCTACTGTAATCATGTAAATAAATGAACAAAAAAAAAAAAAAAAAAGACAAGATTAGTTTTCCCCGAAGAAAGGAGTAGGGAGAAAACTGAGATGAACCGAGGAAGTTGATTATAATGTTTCAGGGACAGCCTGTTTACTCATAAACTATTTCCAGCTCACTTCGGAAGGGAAAACCCGAACGCAGGATGGGAACAACAGAGTGAATTCATGCAAATTGCGGAACCAGTTCTATAGAGAATCAATAATAACTGTTATAATAAGATTTCCAGTTTTAAAGCAATAAAATGCGAAGAACCAAGAATACTGAAGAAATCCGAAAAGAATTCGCATTCAAAATGTGTGCGCCTGTTTTAATATTCAGGATGGATTCCACTGTTCACTTCTGGGAGGTCTTTTGGCACTTGTGATAATGCAATTCTTATGAAATTGAGATACCATTTTACCAATTTATTAACAATTTTTTTTACTGAATCTGAAGATAATCCTAATCAATGAATTTGAAGTTAATTTAAGAAATGAATATGACAATTAACGGGGAAGGAGATGGTCCGTGGTGGCGGTCATAAAGAGGTTGAAATAGAGGAAAAACTATTTTATTTAAAGCCGACGTTTCTACCCGACTTTGCAGGCCTTCTTCAGGGCTAGAACGGACGAGATGCAAAAGGATATAGAAAATTGTGGAAGTTACATAATATTTAGATAAAAATTATAAAGAAGGTGAATAAATTCTGTTTATTCCTCTAAATTTTAGAGTGCTACCAGTGGGTAGTTTCTCAACAAGTCATTTCATGTTATTATTTTCTGTTATCAATTTTACTTAATGTATTTAATTTTTTATTACAGTTGTAAATATCATGAATAAATAAAAAAAAATCCTCTAAAATATACAATGGCCAACTATTAGATATTCAATAAAAAATAAATATATTTGTATAAAGTTATATTTATATACTTATAAAGTCCTTTTACTCCCTTGGAAAGTTGGCAATGTTGAGGTAGGTCACGTTCTTGACTGTTGTTTCAATGTCCTTCAGAATTGCGAATAAGACTCAGTAGTGGAATATCCCAACACTGTCATGATAATAATAACTTTGTCCCTTAATTCAAGTTTTTTTCTCTTGTTAAGAAATCCCTTTTTTACTAAGTCCTGACGGGAATTTTTCATTATATTTATTATAATATTAGCAAAAATAATTTTTCAATGATATCTCCAAGATCCGTTATGACCATCATATGGGGTCAGGGCTTATTGGTCAGGGCTTTTCAGAGATTTTAAATTCATCTATTTTATGTTTAACAAAAAAAAAAACAACAACTAAGTCGTGTCTTATATTCTTTCCCTTAAGTGTTAATTCAAGAAATATCGAAAGTCAGGCTCAACAATCCCGTGGAAAACCTTCAGATATAAATAGTTGTGGCAACTGTAAATTGTCCAATGAAAGACATACTTCTAAGCGAATGACACAGTATTCTGCCATCGCACGTACTTTCCGTTCCTCGAGTGCTCATAGTGATGGAATTTAAACAACTGTTTCAATGGGTTTTTTTTTCACTTTTTAAAAAATTAATTTCAAAACAAAAGCTTTGAGTCTAAATCTAAAATTTCTAATAAGCAATGGCACATTTTCTCTCTCATGTGATACCAACTATTGCTTTCTAAGATCTATTGAAGCGGATATATGAACGTTTAAAAATGATAACATATTTTTAAATATTTATGGAGAAAAGTGAATCAAAGTTAAAAAAAAATTAGATTAAAGACAGCTTGAATGGATAAAGACATGAATAAGAAGGATCTCCTATTAACAGATATAACATTTATTAATAAATTTATTCTAATTATAGCTAATTCAAGCATTGAAATTATCGTGTCTCATTGAAAAAATTATTAGCGATAAATTTATTAAAAGAAACTTTTTATCTAATCGATAAGTCAAGTTTCCTAGTTTGGTATAAATAATTTAATTAATATTCTTTATCGGGGTTTACTTTGTTGGTTTTGCTAAAATAAAAAAAAAAAAGGAATCTTAAGGAGTTCGCCAACAGAATTGATAAGCATCTATTCAGCAAAACTTCAGTGAACAATTGACAATTCATGTTTTGTCATTCTCCTCCAAAAAAAATAAAATTGAATTTCTCTACTCTTCATAAAAATGGTGCAAAGCAAAATTAAATAATAAAAAAATTGTTTTTATATGATTACGCTTGTATGATTTAATCCAAACGTTCCCTTGAAAGTATCTCCAACTTGAAACAGGATGAAAATGTGTCCCTTCCCTTAAAAAAATTCATATAAACACCTCTCCCTTTTGTACGTTCTCAAATCCCATTTCGATTTAATCTCTTATCTGTCAATCATCTGAGATTCTACGCACAGCAAAAACCATACATAACTATAAGAAACACCATAGTAAAACTTTTTTTTAAAGCAAAAAATGTAAGCTTTTAAGTATAATGGACAGGAGAGGTCATCCCCACTTTTCTTTTATAGGGCTTAAGACACCTTCAGGTCAAGGGCTTTCCCCACAAGGTGAGAAACAAACATTTACAAATATCTATTTAAGGGCTGTGGAAATAACTGTTAAAGTTACACCATGCTTAAATCCAACTTACTTGAACAAAAAGTTTGTATAAATACATGATTATTACTTACCTTGTTAACGAAACTATATCATTTACAGTGTTTCCATTTTGTAGTTCGATCAATGCTTCCGCAAGAAAGAGATCGAACCAGGCACCACGCTGGAAATAAAAAGAAACTTTAGAACTGAACAACTTTTACTTTATATAAATATCTTTAAATTAAAAATTAAATAAACAAATAATATGTTTGTGCATAAAAATAGAAAAATGGTGTCCTGTAATGAAAGTAAATATTTAAAAATGTGACATTAGAACTAATTAACATAAAATATAAGTTAATATGGACTATGGTCTGATTGCAGACAATAAAACAATATGAGTTAATAAAATAAAATTTACGGTGAACCTAGTAACAGTCTACATTTATTAACTAATTTATATTTGTGTTTTTATTGTATTAAGTTAGGTTTTTTGTAAAATAATAAGTAAGAGGTAAAACATATTTAAGTAAGGCAGCTAATCACCAATTTTAGCATCGTTAACATGAAATATTTTTATTAAAAAACAAGCTGATTTAACAACTATTTGAAGAGAGCTTATAAGCAATTAAATTATGATTATTATTGTTTAAAAAAAAATAATGGATTATTTTAAATTTCTTATCAGCATCCACCTGTACTACAGATAGCAATCGGTCATTTAACAAAATAAATACAAGTTGTTCGATAAGTTTGAAGTTCAAGTTAATCAAGTTGAGGTCAATTACATAATAAACTGAAATTCGCCCACAATTTTGTAAAACTCGTGTAATGTAAAATTCTTGTTTTCAAAATTATAAATGTATAAGATTTATTTTGACAAATTAAACCCCAAGCGATTAACCACCTGACTTATTTGTAGGATTTATTTTGTAGTAAATAGCAAACCGTTACTTAAAAATACTCGAGAGCAGATTAACCAAAGGTTCATAAAAATCAATAAAAGCGATTGATTACAAAATAATTTTAACAATAACATCTCCTTTATATTTAACAGAAAACACCTCGTTCTTCATTGCTACTCTTCGGTCCATTAATTTTATTATAATTATCATTGTTCTTATCGCTGTCCTTAAGGAATAAATTATGACGATTAACTTGGTAAGCCTTCAGAATAGTAAACAACTCATTCGGAATGGATATTATAATTTGATATTAAAGGAAATAAGGTCAAACAACAACAATAAGATTAAATTAAATTAAAAAATTGTAGTAGTCCAGTGGTAATGAAATATTTTTTTTTATTTGCAAATTTGTAATAATAACAATTTTTGTATCGGATCGGGCGATATAAATATGAAAAGTTGAGGGGTTATTTCATTGCATTAGGACGTTTCATGTATGTGAAGTTTTGTTTTTTGATTTACAGTTAAAAAGAAATGTTAAAGTATTAATACACTACTTATTGAATTACCTTTCGTCGTTAATAAGTGAATTAAGTTAAATATAATCATGCATACTTTCAGTCAAATCCCCACCTTCGAGTATTCAACTTCATGAATATGTGCAAACCTCATTTCCAGTCTAAAGAAACTGGTTGCTCGATTATTTTTAATCGATCTTACAAGGAACTTTCTAGTTGAATGTACAAGAGTTTTAAATCTAAATCTATGAAATTGAGATGTATACTGTAATTTATTTGTCAGTCTTTAAACGTGTGCATCAGTAACCAAAGTACATTACAAAAAAATATAGTATTTTGTATTGAAATTATTTTCTAAAAATATGATATATTTTGCATTAGTCCTTAGCTTCAATAACTACAAAAGGACTGAGTGATATGACAAAGAACTGAAAAAATAAAAGACTAGTATAATTGAAAGTATTTAAAATAGAAATTAAATACTTTATTATTATTTTTTATTTTTTTGTGCGTGGAGCGGAGAAAAGAAAATGTAGTTTTAACTGAACAATTCAAATTAAATAAATCTATTGAAGATTAGCGCAATAAATTTATCTATCGTCTGAAAGATACGTTAGATATTTGATTGTTTGTTGTTATCACTTACTGTTGGGTTATGTCTAAAGAAATTTAAACATCAATACTTTCTGAAAACCTCCCAGTCTTTTACAATGTGAGACTTTTATGTGTTTATATGAATCACATCAAATCATTTTCCCAATTATTTTCCTGAACTCAAATCCTGGAAGATACGTAATCTATATTCTTATATATATATATATATATATATATATATATATATATATCATCATTGAAAGATGTTTCTACATCGAAAATTACCAATATCGCCCGGAGCACCCTATTGGTGGAACAGTACAAGGTCTGAGAAGTGAAGAACAAATTTTATAGACAAATATAAAAAAACATGGTACGAATTCTCACTTCTTAGTTTCGCTATCTCGATATTATGCCAAATTATTAATTAATTAACTAAATAACATTATTCCAACAGCTAAAGGAATACTGCTTTGGAGATTAAATAGGCAGAACATACAACATACAATGTATTGTACGAACAAATAAAAATATAGAACTCGCAATTAGAAATCGTTCATTTAGCTTTGCGGTTCTCAAAAGTTCTGTTTTCAAATAGTTGGTATAAATTTCCTCTTGGGTTTAATGGCCTTATGTACACTACTAGGATAGACAAGTCTGCTTATCATAAGGATACCAATCTAATCTATTCACAGCGAGAAGGTCAACCGTAATTCAGAAGGACTGATTTGAAAGAAACGTTAAACCTCGTGTGCCAGAATCAAACCGGTTTCGCATCAAGTTGTGCAGAACGTTGATCCAAGACGCGATCGTCTTTTCTTTCACATACAACTTACAGAATACATTCAAATTCATAGATGTTTTTGGAAGTATGCGAATGATCCAATCTTTTGTTTTTAGGCACAGTTGAACCCTCTTACATTTAATTATTTTTAAAAATAGTTAATTCAGAATTACGTATTTTTCACGAACAATAATAAGTCAAACAACATTTTATGAAATTTGCGAATTAAAAAAAAAATTGAGCAACAGAGCTTGGTTTTGGTTTAGGACATTTTATTATAGTTTCCGAGATTAATTCATCGAAATAGCAGGTATTTGGAAAAAAAAATATAAACTATCTAAAGGGGCTTCGCTAACCCCAACTCAATTTTCATAGAATTTTTCAACACTCTATCTCAATAAGGAGAAGTTTCTATAGCAAAAGCATGTTAGTGTACTATAGAGATGCACAAAAATCTAAAACATTTTTTTTTTTTAATTTCTTAATGATATTTACAACTGTATTGTAGAAATACATTTAGTAAATTTGAACGTATGAATATAATGACGTGAAAACACTTGTTGAGAAACTACCCAATGGTAGCACTCTAATTATATGTCTAGATTAGGAGATCACGGGACCATCTTCTTTTCAGACTCCTTGGAGGGTTATCAGGAATTGAAGAGGAAGAAAGGTTACAAACGAGAGAGTTGATGATTCTGAAGTTTATTGTGGAAGGATCTGGATTGGGTCAGACCTGAAACATTAAGGTCATTATGGATGGTTTTGTTTGTAACAAAGTAGGGAGCATTGAGGAATTTACGAAGGATTTTGGATTGTAAGGATTGGATGCGAGAGAAATTCGATGGTTCAGTGGAGCCCCATAGCTCAACTCCGTAAGTCCAAACAGGCCTTATTATAGTCATGTATATGAGTCTTTTGTAATTAATTGGAAGTTTAGAGAGTTTGTCTAGTAAGTGCTGAGGTAATCGGAAACGTCGAGCGGTTTGTTGTCGTTTCAGTCTGGTATGAGGATCTAAAAAAATTTGATCCGAAAGTGTACATCACTAATGGTATAAGTACGTAACAGCTGACATTTCACCGACCGACACTTCTCTAACATTAATTCAATTAACATGCAATTTTACAGATTTGCATCTCAGTTAAAATAAATTGCAGAGTTGCACAAAACCATTAAAAATCGCGAAAAAGAAGGAACAAATGGCAGGAGTAGGAGAAAATATTGAGACAACCTTCTCTAACTTCCAATAAATTAACTTCTTTAACAACTAGTCAATTAATATACAACTTTTCAATATACAATAAATATATTCTATGTTGTATATAAATATAAAAGTCAACATATATTACATATTTCGAATATGTATACTATATTCGAATATACTCATACACCAATCTGATAAATGCTCAAACCCAATGGTAAGAACAGGGAAAATGGAAATGGAATAATGGTTTAATTAAGCCCATTACATAATAAAACTGTTTCTTCTAATCTTAATTAGCATTTTAAGTATGGAAGAAGATTTAAAACAGAAGACAGATTTATTCCATTAAATCATCCCATTGTCCTTATAAAATAAATTATTAATTACCATTATGTAAATAATAATTAAAGACTTTAATCATAATAATTTCTACATTACTATATCATACATAAAATATTCATGCATAAATTTTGTTTTTATTGTTTCTTGGGCAAGCTTTTTGTACACCTATAAATATTTTCAAAAATATCATTATAACATATGATTACATAACATAAATAGCCCCTGTTTATGCAAAAGTATAAGTTTTTGGTAATTATCTTCCGATATTTAAACGTTTCTGGGGAAATCAAACCTATATAGTTTCTGATTTTTTTATTTCAGCCAATATTACAGCGATGTTTTCACCTCAAAATCCTACTACGACGTTTCGGCTCATCGAGCCATTTTCAAGTCTAAAAGCAATTTTTTCAATTTACAATCGTTTCTAATAATATTTTGTTAAATTTTCCATACATAATCATTCGCATAATCATTAATACATTATAAAAAGACTCACACATTTCAAAATATAATATAATAATAAACACTAGAATATAATAAAAAAAACACAAAAAAATAATACAATAAACACATTTCATAAAAATCAGATTAAAGGTAATAGCCCCGTCTCATGGATTAATTTACCGACAAACACGGAACTAAATTTGTTCATTCATATCCAAACCTTTAAAGCCAGAAGAAATTTTCGATCCTGAGCACAAACATTTGTTTTAACCTCTCTCGGGAATATAATGTTTCCCGGCCTAAATTTGTGAAGGAGCAGTAAAAAGGGTTTAAAATATTTATTAAATATTTTAATTAGTTATATTATATTTAATTATTATAGTTATATTATAGTT